GAGAGAGAGAGAGAGAGAGAGAGAGACATGCAGAGTGTGTGCATGTGTGAAAGAGAGCACGCGAGCCATGCAGAGTGTATGGGGAATGCCTCTGCAGCACTCACGTTCCCACTTGGTGTTTCAGTAGCTGCACCTGGGTAGGAAAAGCTGGGGGCCTGTTTTCCACTAAAAGATGCCAGTGTGGCCTGTTGGATACGGCTGCTCTGTGTGTACCTCCTGCTCCTCCCACGTAAAAAGAATCAGAACTAACTTCGTTGCTGTGCATGAATCCACACCAATGTCGTGCTGGCTTGACAAGAGAATCGCACACAGGCTGCCCCCTTGTGCACCAACATACCCAGGTCCCAGTACTCCCTACAGCGGTGGCCTGAATAGCACAGGCCAAAACCAGGCTAATCCCCACGCAGACCCTACCCTCCACTGCAAAGCTGTGCGCTGACTCCAGGGAGCCTGGTGGGAGAGAGGCCGGGTCGGCCGACAGCCGCTTTCTGGGCAGCGTGTTCTCGCCAATTGGCATACTCTATGCCAGCACAGCTGTAATGGGCTCGGACACGGCAGAGCCAGAGCAAAGATGGTACTGATGGGGCCAGGGGCTCCCAAGGTGGTTCAGGGACCACTCAGGCAGATGCCTGCGAGGTCACCCATGCGTTTTCTCATTCCATCCCCTGGCAGTGCCTGTAGTGTCTCCTCTAGAAGGGGGAAATGCAGCAGGCTTGCTGGTATATCAAAGCCCCCGAGTATCGCAGGTAAATTTCTCCCTCCTGCACCTTTTAACATGGGAGAGAGGAATAAGGACCATACGTCATTTCAGCTACTTCTCTTCAGTGCCAATGCATTAATGCCCGACGCGGCTTTTCCCTTCCACAGTCCCGGATCTGTGGTAGCAGGAAAGCATGAATGAAGCCTTGTCTGGGTGGTTTTATTCCTTTTACAAGGCTGGTAGACAATGAAACCCTATTCTAGTGATGACAGAGGGTTTCTGATTGAAACAGGTTCTGCTCACAGGGGGCTGATGAAAGCCCGTGTATTAGAAAATGCTACCGCACTTGGCTAACAGACAATTCCCCAGTCTATGGCATGGAGCCACTCTCCAGTGACAGAAAGTAAAAGAGCAGAGGAACCAGGGAATATTTATCATGATGAGTGAAGTGTGGAGCTCCCCACAAACTCCCCAGAAAGCCTGAGTGTGCAGATCTCACGCCTTCCCAGAGCAGCTCCAGTTAATCCAGCTATTGCACCAATATGTAGAGGACAATCTACATGGGAGTTGATCCTGCAGCATAAAATCATAGAATATTAGGGTTGGAAGAGACCTCAGGAGGTCATCTAGTCCAACCCCCTGCTCAAAGCAGGACCAACCCCAACTAAATCATCCCAGCCAGGGCTTTGACAAGCCAAGCCTTACAAACCTCTAAGGATGGAGATTCCACCAACTCCCTAGGTAGCCCATTCCAGTGCTTCACCACCCTCCTAGTGAAATAGTGTTTTCTAATATCCAACCTAGACCTCCCCCACTGCAACTTGAGACCATTGCTCCTTGTTCTGTCATCTGCCACCACTGAGAACAGCCGAGCTCCATCCTCTTTGGAATGCATCCAATAGCAGCATCCCCTTTCCTTCTCTTTCACATACCCCACATCCCTGGTTGCCAGGGCAGCTATTCACTAGCCAAGAGAGCAGAGGATTGGTGTTTGGCCAACAGGGGGCAGTGCGATTTCAGTGGGGGGTGCTCCCATGCCACATCCATTTCACTACCCCCAAGCTAAAGGATATAGAGTCCCAAGAGAAGCGCTCGTGCAAAGCCCCAACCTCAACTCACAGCGTCCCAGAGACTCTCTAGCACAAAGTGAAAGGAGTGAGGGGAGCAACCTACTTTGATGTCCGGGAATTGGCCAAGGTAAGTGTCCATGGTTAGAAGGGCCTGATCCACAAGCTTCTGATGGAAATCCACCCAGAGCAGGTCATTGTTCTGGAAGACAAAAGGAACATGCTTATGAGCACGATCAGAAGGCTTTACATTTCTATTGCCAGGGATCTCCAAGCACAGTACGATCGGAAAGCCTCCCAGCATCCCAGAGATAGTGATCTCGTCTCTTTTGGAGAACCTGAGGCAGACATATCCCAGATCAAGAAGAACTCTGTGAGGCTCAAAAGATGGTCTCTCTCACCAACAGAAGAGATATTATCTCACCCAGTTTGTCTCTCTAATATGCTGGGACCAAAACGGCCACAACAACAATGCATATCCCAGGTCACACGGTAGATGCAGAAATGGAACCCACAAGTCCTGATTCTCCTAGTCAAACTGCTAGACCAGTGGTCCCCAACCAGTCGATCGTGATCAACTGCTCCAACCTGGAGCCTCTGACAGTCAATCGCGATCTCCAGCCAGCGGCGCAGTGGAGCTAAGTGAGGCTGGCTGGCTGCCTGCCCTGGCCCCACACCGCTCCCGGAAGCGGCTGGCATGTCTCTGCAGCCCCTGGGGGGAGCGGGAGTGGATCTCCATGTGCTGTCCGTGCCTGCAAGCGCAGCCCCCTCCTGCACCCAAACTCCCACCCAGACCCCACACCCCAACCCTCTGCCTCAGTCCTGAGCCGGCACCCAAAGTCCCTCCCAGACCCTGCACCCCCTCCTGTACCCCTGCCCTAGCCCAGAGCCCCCTCCTGCACCCACACTCCCTCCCAGAGCTTGCACCTTTCACCCCCTCCTGCACCCCAACCCCCTGCCTCAGGCTCAGCCCGAAGCCCCCTCCCACACTCCTAACCCCTCACCCCCAGCCCCACCCGCACCCCAACCCCCTGCCCCAGTCCTGTGAAAGTGAGTGAGGATGGGGAAAGAGTGAGCCATGGAGAGAGGGGGGGATAGAGTGAGTGGGGCAGGGCTTTGGGGAAGGGGCGGAGCAGATCCTGGGTTGATCTTAAATTCAAACAGTGATCTTGTGCATAAAAAGGTTGGAGACCACTGTGCTAGATCATACTCCCAGCTAGGTACCAAGACCCAGTCTGTTCGGTTTATCTACAAGTCCATGTGCGGGCCTTCCCCAACTAACCTAACCCTAGCGTGACTCTAAACATTGTTTCCCCAGTGAAAAAGAGACCAGACATCCTGACCAGGCTGGGACAAACAGTGCCCATGCTGAGGGTTTACCTGGGGACGGCCAATTATCCACATTTTTGCAGGGCTGATAGAGCCAGTGCTTCCCCTGGTGCTGATGGGTGTACAGAGGATGCACCCAGTCCCCACCCATGACACATTTGGGCCAACATTCTCTCCAAAGCGGCTCCTGATGGCCAAAGCCATCTCGTCTTCCTAGGATCGTTGCTGCCAGACAGATGTCTTGCAGCAAGGCTCCCAAGCCGAGCGTAGGACGTAAGTGCACTGGTCCTGCTAATCCGCTCTCCCCTGGAGGCCGACCTCCCGCCCCGCCATGGAGTCTCACCTCAGCTATTTTGTTGGTATCGTCTCTCCCAGGCCATTCCGGCTCATACACTTCCTGCAAGCATTCCGTCAGCTTCTTGGAGGCCTCGTGCATTGCTAGGAGAGAAGAGAGGGCAGCCTCAAAAACCGAGGGACAGAGCTCCACCAGGGCACCAAGAGCCCCTCCCCATTGCTAGCAGGAACTCGACTGCATGGAATGGATAACAGACGCCTGATTCTAGTTTAAGGCAGGATATTTCCCAAGCATGATCCTTGCTAATACATCTTGAACTCGCAATAACATGGATGTAAAGCAAAGGAGGAGAGGGGCTCAAGGATCTAGTCACCCAGACAACAGGGCATTCAGTGTTCATCCCCACCTAGCAGGATCCTACGAATCTAAACCAAGCCCACCTGGCTGCTAGGAAGAGAAAACAGCCTCTGCACCCCAATGTCTCCCACCAGAGCCACCTTGCTGACTGCCTGAACAACCTTAGAATATCAGGGTTAGAAGGGACCTCAAGAGGTCATCTAGTCCAAACCCCTGCTCAAAGCAGGACTAATCCCCAGGCAGCTTTTTGCCCCAAGATCCCTAAATGGCCCCCTCAAGGATTGAACTCTTAACCCTGGGTTTAGCAGGCCAATGCTCAAACCACTGAGCTATCCCTCCTCCCAGCTGGAGGAGCAAGAGATGTGAAACCGACGCTCCATCACCAGGCCAGTTGCTCCGGGAAAGCCTGCTTGCACTGGGCAGGAAGAGCTATGGCCAGGAGAACCCTATTTGCGGTGCCTCCAGTTGGAAAAGTGACAGACCTCCAGTTGCACAGACGTTACCTTTTACGGAAGCCAGGTAAGTTCGGAGATCCTTCTGCAGCTTGCTGCCTTCTGTCTGCGAAGACAAGGAAAAGCCAGCTGGTTATTGTTTTGTACAGAGTGAGATGGATTTGTGCAGGACTCATCTGTGCTATGAAAAAACACCACATCCAAAACTGCCCAATACAGCCCGACGGCTGAGGAGCTGACACAGGACTAAGATCCTGTCTATGCAGGATGGAGCAAAGTGAACCAAGAAATCAAGGCAGATGAGGCTGGTTAGCCCAATAGGCCCTGATCCCCATAAGGTGTGTCTACACTGGG